TGTCAATGCACAAAATTAGGACTGGGAATGTGAGACTGACCACAGACAGAGAGCATTAAAGTGCTTGATCCCCAGATCCTCAGATAATGCTTTGCATAACTCTGTGTTAATGATTTGAAAGTTAGGAGGCAATGCAGCTTTTAAGGAAAATTAAGATGGGCAGGATGGACTTGCGGATGGCCCAGTGACTGTGGATAAACTGGGAGGGCTCCGGGTGAGACTGGGGCTGAAGAGAGGTCTGCGGGTCTCACTTCTCCAGCAAGGCATCTGCAGCCATGTCAAGAGGATGCATCCTTCCTCCATGGGACTCCGGGATTTTCTGGCTCTCGAGGGCCTGCATTTCAGAGGGCAGGCTTCTCCTGCCCTGCTGCACCCTGCTGAACCTGCACCTGCACCCCTTCCTGCAGGCCGCCCTCTCTCTCTGCACACCTCAGCTGGGAGGAAGGAGAAAGAACACAGCGAGTGATCCCTATTTTTGGGATTTCAGGACATTGGCAAAAGCTTCCATTCCAAATAAAATATCCAGCCCCCTCTGAGTGGCATCTAACTTCCACACTTAGAGACTTTTTCTTTTGACTGAAGCCAAACCTTGCTGCCACTCACTTCTCAGGGGGTGCCAGCCTAGGGAAGGGGCGTTCCTGGAAAGGTCTGCACACCGGGCTGCACACGGTGTTTCCTTCCAAGAGTGGAGAAGAGTGGGGTTTGGAGTCCTCATGCTCCAGGGTCATGGCCTCTGAGACCAGAGGAGCTGCGTTAGTCCCATCGGAATTCCATGCCTCGGGCAGAATTGCACCTGCCATGTTAAGCACATGCTCCAGGAAACCCCCCTGCTCTGGGTTACAGGAGGTTCTACAACAGGCAACTCTGGTCTGCGGTGGCTGAGGTCAGAGCAGAGGTGCCCCAGGGCAGGGTGGGGCCGACTGCAAGGGGCACAGGGGCCTCTGTGTGGTGACCGGGGGGTCTCCATCCTGAGGGGTGTGGGTGACCACGTGCACACGCTTCCAAAACTCACGGAAACACAGCGCTTACCACCTGTTCACTTTGCTGCATGTAAATTATTCTAAAATAAAGGAAGCAGTGAAGCAGCAGGGAAAAGGCAGGTTTGGGATCTTCATCGCCAAGGCTGGCTTCAGGGAAACAAGCGCTGACCGAGACAGGTGGGCACTTGGTGGTAGCGAAGGCTATGAGCCACAGAGAAGCCCCAGCAAACCCTGTGCTCCGAATGACTTGGCATCTGCTGAGAGTGACGGAGCCAGAGGGAGTGCAGGGAGAGCCAGACAGACACTTCAGAGGCCTGAAGAGTGTCATCAGTAACACAGTTCTAACCAATATGCATCGAACGCCTTTCAAGTGTCCATGGAACAGTCACAAAAATGGACGACATATCTAGGCCCAGAGCAAACCACGAATTCCGAAGCATACACGCAGCCGGGCGACGTTCACCAGTCACAGCGCAGTACCACTGCCGGCTGAAGTCAATACCATGAAACGGAAAACCTCACCATCTGAACATTTTTAACTCTCTAACATAACTATTAAGCCAAAAGAAAATAAAGTTCTCTTTACAGAATATCTAGAAAACAATGAAGAAGAAAATCCACTGTTCAGGAAAATATCTCCGAAGTTTGAAATTGAGAAAAATTAGTGGTGGAGTGATTTTAATATCACAGCAGAGCACTCGCCCCTCCCTCGGAAAATGCCGCCTCGCTGCCTTCCCGGTCATGGCCCTCAGGGCTGCCGTACTGCAGCCCCATGAAGCTGGAGGGCGTCTTACAGAAAGATGATAATGGGGACATTTTTTTAGCTTAGTAGAGAAGATAACCCTAGAGGTTACACTTTTTGTAGGACATGAACCAGGTTTGGACCTAACTTATCTAATGATCTCATAACCCCAGAATAAAATTCTAAGCCCCCCAGTTGACTGAATGGACTTCCTCTGGGCCAAGGGGACCCCAGGAAACCTGAGAAACTGGATTATTGATGGGAAGGGAGGCTGGGCTCCCCCTCCCTGTTGGAGTTTAGGCACAGCTGACCAGCATTTACACTAAAGTAGAGATCATAAGACTGACAGACTTTTTGTGGCAATTAGATACCAAATGCCATCCTGACTCTGGCATAGCATCGCATGACAGCAGATAGCAGACCCTAAAGAAAATCACAATATTTTACTCCCAAATACGTGTCTTTGACATGTTTTGAAATGGCTGGGCAAAGTGCGCTCTTGTAGGGGAAAATTGTGTCTATAGAGACTGGCCTTCCCTTACTAGGTCCTTTCCTGATCCAGGAGAGATTTACATAAGAGATTTCCGGCACCTTTTAAGGTCCAGAAAGAGGCGTTTATCATCTATTCTCTCTTAAGCTACTTCATGTACGAAACAAGAACGACCTTGACTTCCACAATCTCTGATCTTAAGCATTTCTTTCTGCTGACTTCAACTGAAGCAAACCTTAACATTTTCAACCAATTGCTAATCATAAAATCTTTGAATCCACCTAAGCCCTGAAAGCCCCCGTGCTGCCTGGCTTCAAGATGTCTCACCTTTCCAGGCTGAACCAATGTACAACTTAGATGTGTTGATTTGCCTGTAACTTCTGTCTCCCTAAAATATGTAAAACCAAACTGTAACCCAACCACCTTGGGAACACATTTTCAGGAACTCTTGAAACTGTACCCTGGTCCATGGCCACTCATATTTGGCTCAGAAGAAACTTCTTTAAATATTTTAGAGTTTGGCCTTCCTCATCAACAATCTCCCTCCCATTTAATTTCAATTCCTCAAATACTCTGTGAAGTCATGCTGTCTTTCCATCCGTTACCTCATTCATGAGTTAAAGAGAACCTGGCCACAGAGACCAGATATTTGTATAAAAAAGTTTTAACAGTTTGAGAATTGAGCTTTTACAAGACATGTCAGAAATTATTAGGCACAGCCAAGAGTGCTCAGATAGAAATTCATAGTCTCACATGCTTATCAGTTAACAAGAAAACATGAAAATAGGTAAATTAAACATCCAATTCAAGAACTGCAAAACACAGCTAAGTGAGGCAGACAGAAGGACTTTGTAAACCACAATTAAAATTCTAAGCCCTGACCATCTGAATGGACCCTGCCTCTCAGTCAAGGGCATTCCAAAGTTAACCTGAAAACGTAGTTCAGGCCATGATGGGAAGGGGGAGCTTGACGTGTCTCATTATCCCTCCTCCCTGTTGGAATTCCTGAGAGAACAGACTCTTTAACTGTGATAAGAAACATTTATGATCTGTTCTCTCTGAAGCCTGTTACCTGGAAGCTTCACCTCTGTGATGAAACCTTGGTCTCCACAACCTCTTATCTTAACCTGGACATTTCTTTCTAAGTCTTTAGACAATAACTTGACTCAACCAATTGCCAATCAGAAAATCCTTGAATCTACCTATGACCTGGAAGCCCCCCACTTCCAGGTGTCCCCGCTTTCCAGACGGAGACAATGTACGTCTTACATGTGTTGACTGATGTCTCACGTCTCCCTTAAAGATATAAAACCAAGCAACCAAGCGTGGCCTGACCACCACAGACACGTGTTCTCAGGAACTCCCGAAGGCTATGTCACAGGGCCATTGGCCACTCATATTTGGATCAGAATAAATCTCTTTAAATATTTTACAGAGTTTGATTATTTTCATCAACAACTTTCTAAGAAGTAAAGAAGAAATTAATGGTTTGAAAAGCAAGAAATGATAGGATCAGTTAATAGGCACCAAAGCTGGTTCTTTTAAAAAAAGAAAACAATAAAATACAGAAACCATCAACAAACCTAACCAAAAAAAAAAAAAGTAAAATCAGAAATAAGCATCAGAAAATAGCCCAGATGCAGAGTGAATGAAAAACAACTATGACAAGACTACTTTGTTCAACACTATGCATATTGAAATCTGGATGAAATGAATGCTTTTTAAGGAAAATATTATCAAATTGATTTTGGAGGAGCCAATTACCACAGGAGAAGTAGACGCTGCTGTTAGAGAGCCACGCCAGTCACCCACCCACACTCACGTCGGAGGAAGGAGCCACACCAGTCACCCTCCTGCACTGTAGATCCCCAAACGCCATCAGCTCAAAATGATCCTTACACCACAAAGTGTGAGCTGGATCCCTTCACACACCTGCACATATACACACACATGCATGTGCTTACACATATGTACACATGACACCCAAATAAACACATATACATATGTGTGGTTACATGAACACACACACTTGTACACATATACATGCACACATGCACCTACACACATGCACATAGATACACATACAGTGCACGTATACACATATACATCCATATCCACACAAATGCACACATGAACATGGTTACATATGAGTACATATGCTCACACATATACACATATCTCCATCTACACATATACATCCACATGAACACTCATGCATACATATGCTTACACATCCATGTGTACACACATAGACACACGCACACACAATACACATGTACACACATGGCCACACAACGCACATGCCTACATGTACTTACACACATTTACACATGCACACATAAACATTCACATGAAGACAACATACATATACATATGCACACATATATACCTGCTCACACATTCATATAGACACACGTGCTTTACACATATATGCAGCATGTGCATACACAAATAAACATACCCCCACACACATGCATACATACACACACTTGCTCCAAATGAGAAAGAAAAGTCCACCTTACAAGTTCTCGCAAACCTTAAGGAACATGTCATTACAATGCTATGAACCAGTCCAGGAGCACAGAAGGAAAGATCAAGCTTCCACATTCTTTGTTTGAAAAGAATCACAGAATCACTTTCCATATCAATATCGAGGCGCATATTCTTAGTGTTAGCAAACAGACGCACACGGAAGCGAGTGAGAAAGCCCATCATGGCTGGATCAGAAGACACACCGTCTTATGCCGGTTCTCTTTAAATCAACCTGTACTGGAGAAAATGCCAACAGTGTGCTTTTGGCTGTGTTTTGTGTTTATTTTTTAAACTAGACCAGATGTTTCAGCATTTACATCAAAATAAACATGCAAATACAGTCTTACAAAACGTTGAAGAGCGAGGTCTCAGAGAAGAGAGTGCTGCCACTGTCCAAGCACACCGTGAACTGCAGCAACCTCCGCAGTGGGGCCTGCTGGACCCAGAGTTCAGAACGAGGCTCTGCTCTAATGACACAGGAAGACCCAAAAATATCTTCGAGTGAATGGATGGTTAGCTAGCTGGAAACCATGATGCTAAACAGGGTATGATGCAACTGCCATTTCTGTGAACCAAAAAAGAATATACACGTACACATCACCTGTGCACAGTGTCTGCAGAGGGCAGAGGGCAGGCAGGTAGAAGCATTAATTAAGAGCTGCAGATTCATCAGATAAAAATGTGGGACCCCAGGTTAGGTGCTGGGATGCAGCAATGCTGGGTTCCTGGGATCTTGGGATGCTGGGGGTGCCGGGGGTGGTGGGATGCTGGCGTGCTGGGATACATGGAGGCTGGGATGCTGGGATGCTGGGATGCTGAGATGCTGGGGTGCTGGGATCCTGAGTGCTGGGTGTAGGGCTGTTGGGGATGACAGCCTGGGGTGCTGAGTGCTGGGCTGTTGGGGATGACGGTGGATATTCTCCTTTCCGTCTTTTCAGGGGCGTGTGCACACCACCCTCTGGCATTGTCCTGGAAACTGCCGGAACTTGGCTGCCGGGCTGCTGGCATGCTCCACGTTCGGGGCTGTCCCATCGGGAAAGGTGCCTGTGGGGGTGAGGAGACCCTCTTCTGATCCTCCTGCTTTCCTGGGGGGTGAAGCTGCTTTCCCTGAACACATCAGGCCCCGCCCCCCCAGCCGCAGGACCCCACAGTGTGGTCTTTGTCCCCCAGGGGCAGTGCTTTCTGTCCCTTTTGTTCTCTGCTGATCCCCAGAGCCTGGCCCTGCACAGGTCGTCAGTGATGTCTGTGGATTAGAGATCCATTCCCCTGTGCCTCCACAGGGGAGGGCCACACGTGCGCACACATGCACACTCACACACACAGGGTCACACACACAATCATGCTTACATGTCACACACTATACACACGCACTCTTGTGTACACGTGGCACACACAGCCCAGCCACACGTTCACACCCACTCCCCCTCCTGCTGATATTCTCACAGTCACACACATGCACTCACCACGCCCTCCCCTAGTGGGCTCTGGGGTTCCACCAACCGTAGCTGGATGGCCACCCCGTGGCCTTCACCACTGCGTGGCCCAACACAGAGGTGTATTGGGGGTCAGCTCCTCCTGGTTCCCTGGGCAACATTATCCTGCGGGGCCAGGCTCAGTCAGCCCTCACATGTGGGGATCCCAGCCCAGCCCCCTTTCCCAGACTCCACATTCGGATTCTCAAGCCGTGGGCAAAGTAGCCGTGCTGGCACTGACTGGCCCCAAAGTGAAACCGATGCCGCAAAGCACTGCTGCGCCAAACGCCAGCCAGGCAGAGTGAGAACAGGACAGGCCCCTGGGACAGCGGTGCGGGTCGGCTTCCAGCTGACTTTGGGGTCCCCAGGACCCCCTTTCTGGAGGGGTCACCAAGCCGGGGCTGGGCTCCACCTGGCCATTGTGAGATGTGCAGCTTTGTGAGCCGGTGCTGCCCCTTGGGCAGTTTAAACAGCAGTGGTGGGAGGATGTGCAAACGCCCCCAACCAGGGGCTTCATTTTCGCACTTCACTAGAGAGCCTGCTTGCCAGCACCCCGCTACCAGGGACCCTCCATGCCTCCCCAACTCCACCCACCCCTTCTCTAGCTCCCCTAGGGGAGGGTGGCACCTTGCTCTTCTGAGCGGCGGCGGGGAGAGCCGGGACCCCGCACATCACCACGTCCCTCCTGCCCCCGGCTTCTGCTTGCCTGTCCCCGGGAGCTGGGATTCCAGGCCGATTTCAACTAAGTTCTCTTTTAAGTGCATACACACCAGTGGGATTTGCTTACTGGCCTCGCTTGTGCTGGAAGAAACTCTGTCTTTAACTTCTGTTCTGCTCATGTATATATTCCGAGATGTTTTAAACAACAATTCAACCATCTTCCTGGCTTTCACCTGGTGAAATTACAAATGTTCAGAATTCTCACCACCTTCTGGTTAAGCAAGTGTCGTGGGTTGAACTGTGTCCCCCTGAAACTCTCATGCTGGAGTCCTAGTCTCACAACCTCAGGATGTGACCTTATTTAGAGACAAGGTCTTCACGGAGGTGATCTGTTTAACGGGAGGTCTCAGGGTGGGCCCTACACCCCATGGCTGGTGTCCATATAAGATGGGCACATTTGGACACCAAGAAACAGACGACAACCACATACGGCCACGCGGGGTGCCTTCTGAGGAACCAGCTCCGGCCGCACCTTCATCTTGGCCTTCCCGCCTCCTGTCCTGCTGTTTAAGACGCCTGAGAGAGTGCCCCGTGATGGCAACGCCAGCGGGCACATATACAGCAGGCATCTGGGGTCCAGCCTGGGAACCCAGACACAGACACCGTCTCTACCTGGCAAGATGGGGCAACAAAATGTGAAATGAATAGATCCAGTCTCTGCTCCCAAGACCCAGCACAGGGCTCCAAAAACCCTCGGAATTTCCTGGGTGATGGCAGCAGATTCTTTTGTTCAAATGAGGTGAGGCTTGGTGGCTCCTGGAGGGGGGCCGGTCACCAGAGAGACCAGCCAGGATTAGCACCTGCAGCTCTCAACCCTGCACCCACCCTCCTCCAGGCATCATCCACCATGATCTGATGGAGCCTCCATAAGAATGCCTGGACTACTGGTCCGCAGCAGTGCCGGGTTGCTGCACACATCCACGTGCCAGGAGGGTGGTGCCCCCCACTCCACGGGGACAGATGCTCCTGTGCTGGGGACCCTTTCGGACCCTGCCCTGTGCCCTGACCCACCTAGCTGCCCATCTGCGGCCTTTCTCATCTCCTTTTCCTGCGTTCTGTGATAATTTTGTGTTACATTCTTGATATTTAAGGCTAATGTGTAACTAGAAAACTGAGTTTTAATATTTAATGCCCTTGGATTTGGGAAATCTCTTACTACATTATGTTTGGAGATACTTTCTCTGCGGGGTAAAATATTTTATCGAGGCTGTACCCATGTGTGGAGTGTCTTTACCAACAAAGGCCGTACCCATGTGTGGAGTGTCTTTACCAACAAAGGCCCATTTGAGAACTATCTTTGGGAAGGAATATGGTCATCTAGCAGGGATCTGAGGATGCCAACTTCAAGACGGGGTGAGGTTCCAGGAGCCTGAGAAACATGATGTTCAGGTTTCAAAACTATGTCAAGGCAGCTTATTTGATCCCATGTAGGTATGGTGGCCCTCTCCCGGGTGGAATTCCACTCTCCCAGGTGGGCCTCTCCCCGGGGGTTCTCTCCCAGGTGGGCCTGCCCCAGGTGGGCCTCCCCTAGAGCTCCCGGAGCGCGCCCACCCCAGGGTGAGTCCTGGGCCCTCCCTGCCCCAGGCCGACCCAAGTCCTTCAGTGGCTCGGGCTTCCCTGCGCTCGGGCTGCGCGCCCCGTCCAGTCTCCAATTCAGTCCCCGGCTGGGAGGGAGGTGGGGAGCCCCGAGGGGCAGGTGGCCGCGCCGCTCCCCGCTCCCTGGGGGCCGGGCTCTGCGTCTGCTCGTCCCGCCCCGCTCCGCTGCCAGGTCTCAGCTCGCCCCCGGGGCGGCCCCTCCACGCCCGCAGCCCGCATTTCCTCTGCGCGACTTTCTGTGCCCGCTGCACTTCCAGGACCGTGGCAGGGGCAAGTCACCGCCTGTTAAAGTAATGACGGAATGAGGGAGGGAGGGGGAGAGAGAGAGAGAGAAAAGAGAAGAGAAGAAGAGAAGAGAAGAAGGAAAGAAAAAAAAGGAAGAGAACGAACGAGCGGAGGAGCGCAGGCGCGAAGGACGCAGTCAGAAGTTCCCGGGGAAGGAGGAGGGTGCGCCCGGTGCCAGGACCACAACCCGGGCACACCCTGAGCGGGGAGAGGAGGCCGGCGCGGACCCCCCGGCGCCCCCCAACGCCGCCCTCCCCCGCGGCCTTCCCTCCCTTTCTTCTTCCCGCCACTCGCCGGGGGTCGCCGCCCCGGTGTCCCGGCTCCGCGGAACTGGCGGCGGGGCGGGCGGGCGCGCGGCGTTGTTCGCCTTCGCCGAAGTGTGGCCCCGCCGCCGCCCCGTAGCCCGCGCGTCCGCGTCCCTTTCGGTCTCCAGGCAACCGTCGCCGGGTCCTCGCGGCGGGAGAACCCAACCGACCCTGGCGGCGGGACGCACCGCGGACCCCAGAAAGGGCGGACGAGCCGGGCGCCGGCGTCATGGACCTGGTCATCACGCAGGAGCTGGCCCGCGCCGAGAGCCAGCAAGGTGACCCCAGACCCGCCACGACCCCCGCCCCAGGGAGGCCCCGGACCCGCCACGACCCCCGCCCCGGGGAGGCCCCGGACCCACCACGACCCCTGCCCCGGGGTGACCCCAGACCCGCTACGACCCCCGCCCCGGGGAAGCCGCGGACCCTCTCATCCCAGCCTGCCAGATGGGTGACCCCTCGAGGGCCACAGCCGGAGCCTCCCACCTCCCGATTGTCTGACCAGGGCAAACATACAGGAAGGTGCCCACACCGCTGCTCCCAGGCGGCGACTGCTGCTGTGGCCGGGGCCTGAGGCGGCTGCCTGGGGCCTTCGGGATCGCGTTCTCCGGCTCACTTCTCCCAGCCCAGTGACCAAACCTTCCTCAACCGCCTGTTTGGGACAGATGCTGCGTCCTTGAAGAAGGCCTATGAGTTGATCAAATCGGCCAACCTAGGGAAATCGGAGTTTGACCCCTCAGAGAGCTTCAGCCCAGACCTGTTTGTTCTGTGTGCAGAGCAGGCCCTCAAGGTAACTAGTTCCCGGGATCCTGGGTCAGGGCAGCTTTGACAGGGAGATGGGGGGCCTCTGGGCATCTAGTGGATGCAGAGTGGGGCTGGGGAGAGGCAGCTCCCGGCCGGGCAGTCAAGGGGCCAGGATGGAGGGTGGGGGCTGCAAACAGGCTGCACCGGTGCTTGGGGCCTGTTCTGAAAGCGGCCCCATGTGTTTCTGGGCAGGGAGGCCACCACCTCCAGGTCTGTGGTCTTCCATGGTGGTGTTCTCTTGCAGATGGGGCAGCCAGAGGTGAGCGAGGACTGCATCCAAATGTACTTCAAGGTGAAGGCGCCCATCACCCAGTTTCTGGGCCGAGCGCACCTGTGCAGGGCCCAGATGTGTGCCCCAAAGTCGGCAGAAAACCTGGTGAGAGGTGTCCTGTGCCCCTTCTCCCCAACAGTTCAATTTTCACCCCACCTCCAGAACAGTGCCAGCCTAGACCAGGCTTTAAATCGTTCTTAGGGTAGTAGAGTGAAGGAATTAATTTCCAGAGTGACACGAAACTTGCACCATTTCCCATTCATGCTTTTTGCTCAAGTAGTGGTATCTGACATGCAGGACCCCTGGACCTTTGCCTTGTCGCAGCGTGGTCTCTGTGGCATCTGCACCTGCAGCTGCCCCGAGTGGGCAGAGGGGAGCTGGGGTGGGGTGGGTGTGCTGGAGCACAGGCACTGCGGTTTCTGATGCCTCGCTGTGTCTGTGGGACGGGAACCCGGGTGCAGGTCCACGACATCGCCACGACACTCAGGCTGTCTGCCACACCGTCACCTGTGGATACACAGGGGGTACCAGGCCAACCATGAAGGAGCCGTGGCATCTGCAGACAGGGCAATGAGCAGGGTTCAGTGTTTCAGTCTAATTGTGCTTCTTTATGTTGCCTTAGGAGGAGTTTGAAAATTGCGTAACTCAGTACATGAAGGCCATAAACTTTGCCAAAGGAGAACCGAGGTAGGTGAAATTGAAGTGGCCTTTTCTCATTGACCGGGTGAAAGACTTCAGAGCCAGAACTTACCAAGTGGGTGTATTTATTTGAACTGTGGGTTTTCCCCTCATTTGTGGTTTGTGATTTTCATGCACATGTGATCACTGCCTCATCTCGTTAGCGTGTGGACTAGGCCACATTCATGCAGAATTCCGAGTCACAGCCTCTTCAGCACTCGGCGGTTTTTGTGATTTTAGGTGGCTGTGAAGAGGCTGTTTTCTGCCGGGCGTGGTGGCACAAGCCTGTAATCCCAGCTACTGGGGAGGCTGAGGCAGGAGAATCACTTGAACTCGGGAGGTGGAGGTTGCAGTGAGCCCAGATCACGCCACTGCACTCCAGCCTGGATGACAGAGCGAGACTCCGTCTCAAGAAAAAAAAAAAAAGTCTGTTTTCTCCAGGACCTCCCTTGGTGTACCCCCAGAGCGCCCGGCTCCTTCCCCAGGGTTCCTTCTTCGGCCCAGCGTGCCTTTGCTGCCCTCTAGCGGGCGGCTTGGCCAAGGCCGCTGTCCCTGCGGAGGCGACTCCAGCATAACTTTCTACAAAATCAGTGCTTTCTGCACAAAAACAAATATCATGCTTGAAACTGTTAAGCTTGCACAAAACTGATTCATATCCTATGCAAATCAGTTTTGTGCAAGCTTGGCAGTTTCAAGCATATTTGTTTGAATATATATCACATATTTGAATAGGATACAATGTTTGGAGGAGATTTAAATAGAAGCTGTGGGTTCCCTGGTCCCTTCTACCCACATCGGCCTGCTTGTCTGCTGGTGGCCCTCTCTGGTCACACTCTGTTGCAAGTGGTGGGGATGTAGGGCTCAGCCCAAGAGATCTTCCCTGCATGGGGACGGGGATGGGGAGGCCCAATCTCAAGCCACAGATTCTAAAGATAAGGGTGTTTCCGAGGGAGGTGTGATGCGGGAGTGGCGGGTACCGCGGGAAGGAGGCTGCTCTGCTCCAGGACCCTCGGGGGCACTGTGGATGGACCATGGGGTGACAGAGCCTTGCCAGAGGTCAGGATCATCTTTGGGAAAGGGCCAGGTTGTGTGGAGAGAGAGGGCAGCACTGGCTTGTCCAGGGCAGTGGCAGTGGGACAGGAGACTGTGAGCCCGACCACGGGCATGTGGAGGCCATAGTGGGGATTTGCAGAGAGCCACTTACAGGGAGGAGATGGATTCCTTTCGAGGTGCGGCATCCAGGGAGAAGCAGCAGGCCACTGGAGTCCCATGGCGACCCCTCTGACTCAGGCAGGCGTGACCGTCTGGTCAGGACACCCCGCACCTCCGCTCCTCTCCTGAAAACCTGGAAACAAGATGAGTCCTGTCCCAGGGTCACATGGTGGCTCTGAGTAAACTCAGAGGAGTGGGCTTGCCACAGCCACCCTGGCGTCCTCCTCCCACCTGGGCATTGAGCAGTGCTGGTACACCTGGTGGCCAGCCCAGGACCACCAGGCACGGAGGCCCTACAGGACAGAGCTGGCCTGCCCTGCTGTGGAGTGGCCCTAGAGTGAGAAAGGCAGATGGGCCCAGATTCCCTTACTTCAGTCCCTGCAATGGCTCCCTGCTGCCCAGGGAGAGGCCCAGACCCCTGAGAGGGGTCTCTGTTTAGTCTTCCAGTCCACCCTCCTCCACTTCACACTGTATGCTGGCAGACAGGAACTTTGTTTCCCAAAGGCTCCTCCTTGTCTTCCATCTGCCTGACCTTCTTTTCCTCTACTACTGTCTTGGCTGCATCCTGACATCTTTCAGGTCACGGCAGGCATGTAACCTCCTCCAGGAAGCCTTCCTTGATTCCCTCTGTCCTTGCCCATTCTTGTCTATCCCTTGAGAGCCAGAGGAGGCCTTGGTCAGTGGTGTGTTTTCAAGGGAAGGGGGCCAATCAGTTTGTGGAATGATTGAGGAAGGAGGCCCTGGTCTGGACTCAGGAGCCTGTGGCCGGGTCATCACAGCTGGGCCTGCACTAGAGCCATGGCACGTTGGATGCAGGGCCGCCCAAGGCTGTCCCAGGGAAGAGCTCTGCATCCTGGTGCTCCTGCAGGCTGGGCCAAAGCTTCTCAGATGGGGCTGCTGCTGTCTGCTGGGAGAGGACCTGAGGCCCCTCCTGAGAGGGGCTCCGGAGACACAGTGGCCCCTTGGTTTTGCAGCTTGGGCTGGCTAGGCTTTGACCGCGTTCTCCACGTCCTCTGCTTGTGCCGTAGGTATTACTTTTTGGTGTACAATGCATCAGTCCTCTACTGGCAGATGGTGAGGCCGTTCCTCGAGCCTGGATATCGCCACCATCTGATCCCCAGCCTTTCCCAAATTGTAAACGTGCTGAGTCAGACCGAGGAGGAAGACAAGGAGTGGCACGCCGAGCTGATGCTGTGAGTTGAGCTCGCCGTGCCCTCCGTGGCCTTCCAGTGGGCTGCCCTCCAACTCTGAGGCCACCACCCCTTCTCCTGGCGGGGCGGATGGGAGTTCCACATCACTGGGGTACACTCCGTGTGTGTTTTCTCCCACAGTCACAAGTTTCTGTGTGTCTTGTCAGAAGGTTGTTTCCAAAATCTGTAGATGACGTTTGCCGTGCCCTGGTTATGAGGTTATGACAACAGAACAAGATACTGTGTTTAGACTCACGGCAAAGCAGACGTGACCCTGCGCCACCCAGCCTGGCTCCCGGTTTTAAAATCTTAGCTCTGAAAGTATTAATGCAGTAGGTGTTTTAACAGCATAAAACCAAGCGGAGTCAGCATGTCCGGAGCCCAGGCGGCCCTGCGAGGAAGCTGGGGCAGCACGGGGCAGGCCGGCCTTGCCTGGCCTTAGCCCTGAGGGGTCACTGCAGACTGTCACCAATGCCTCGGTCACTGTGCTGGGCGGCGGAAAGGAAATGGGTCCGAGTGTCTGTGGAGCTCTGTGTGCAGGCCGGGGACGGGTGGATGTCTCCAGTGAGGATCCCAGCTGTGCCAGCCCCAGAGTGGTCCTCCTCGACCCCAACCCAGAGCCTGCAGGTGTGGGTTTCCTGCCATATGGCCTTTTGGGGAACCTTTGAAGAATATCAGTACAGATCTTTCATTTCAAAATGCCCCGGTGCTAGCGGTAACGAGCTGTCTGGCGCCTGCTGGCCGTTCCCGGTGAGCCGCACGGCCTGGTTCTGGCTGAAGAAGCTGACCGCGGGGTAGCTTTTAAAGTTTGTGAAACACAAAATATATAATGGTTTAATAGCCTGGTTATTAGAGAGGAGAAAACAGTTTCAGCCAGGTTGACCAGTGGCGTGTCTGTCTGGTTACTAGAGAGGAGAAAACAGTTTCAGCCAGGTTGACCAGTGGCGCGTGTCTGTCTGGTTATTAGAGAGGAGAAAACAGTTTCAGCCGGGTTGACCAGTGGCGCGTGTCTGTCTGGTTACTAGAGAGGAGAAAACAGTTTCAGCCGGGTTGACCAGTGGCGTGTCTGTCTGGTTATTAGAGAGGAGAAAACATTTTCAGCCAGGTTGACCAGTGGCGTGTCTGTCTGGTTATTAGAGAGGAGAAAACAGTTTCAGCCAGGTTGACCAGTGGCGTGTCTGTCTGGTTACTAGAGAGGAGAAAACAGTTTCAGCCGGGTTGACCAGTGGCGTGTGTCTGTCTGGTTATTAGAGAGGAGAAAACAGTTTCAGCCAGGTTGACCAGTGGCGTGTCTGTCTGGTTACTAGAGAGGAGAAAACAGTTTCAGCCGGGTTGACCAGTGGTGTGTCTGTCTGGTTACTAGAGAGGAGAAAACAGTTTCAGCCGGGTTGACCAGTGGCGCGTGTCTGTCTGGTTATTAGAGAGGAGAAAACAGTTTCAGCCGGGTTGACCAGTGGCATGTCTGTCTGATTATTAGAGAGGAGAAAACAGTTTCACCGAGTTGACCAGTGGCGCGCGTCTGTCTGATTACTAGAGAGGAGAAAACAGTTTCACCGGGTTGACCAGTGGCGCGTCTGTTATCTAGGGAACTTCTGGAGTGTTATCTGCAAGCCGGAAGAAAGGAGGAGGCTGCCAGGTTCTGCTCCACTGCAGCTCCGTTCATCAAGTCTCACGTGCCGCAGAAATACCGGCAGATGTTCTCCGTTATGGTAAATGAGCGTATTAGAAATAGAGACGTAAGAAGTACTTTTCTTAAAAGTCATTGTTGAGAAAACTGCATAGAAATTACATAAGTTTGCTGAGAGATATAAAAATGTATATGTATAGATACATGAACAAAAATATATAAACATATTAAAAAGAAATAGCAGTTCATCCAACGTATAGAACTGTGACATTTTGAAAGCAAAACAGGGTCTTTTGCCTTTATCGTCCCTCTTTGAATTTTTCCTTTCTAATAGCTTTGAATTTGTTTGAAGTTAATAGAAAATTCACAAAGATACAAGTAATTACTACAAGAATATGTACCAAAAGCATTCATCAGCAATTCATTTTTAAATATGGGGAATCAGCTTAAGTTGTATCTGAAAAACTAGATACAAAATTTAATTAATGAGAAAATAAAATCTAGACACAAAATCTGAACCTCTTACCTAATTGTTTGAATCCAGATTAATAATCTCTTCAATTTTATGACAGGTTCGTCATGAATTAATGGACAAACTTCAGTTAAAGGAAGAAAAGAAAAATTCCATTAGCCTGTCAGTCACTTTCTATATTAATATGCTAAAAGCGTAAGTCATTTTGGGAGGGAGAGTTTCACAAGTGCTGGGCTTGGGAGCGCTCTGTCCCCTCCATGGGGGGAGGTGCTGTGTCCAGGGGCCTGTGAGTCTGGAGTTGCAGTGAGTGGAGCTGGAGAGTGGGAGCCTGGGACTCCCCAGGGTGTGGGGATCCGAAGGCCACCCCCAATCCGTGGCCCTGCCTCCCTCCCAGCATGGAGGAGAGGCCAGTGAGGCCACAGAAGGGAGAGGGCGGCTTCAAGCCAAGTGCAGAAAGAGCTTGTAGGAGGAGATCACGGTGTGTTTGGATGCCGAGGGGAGTGAGGAGATCACGATGTGTTTGGATGATGAGGGGAGTGAGGAGATCATGGTGTGTTTGGATGCCGAGGGGAGTGAGGAGATCGCGGTGTGTTTGGATGCCGAGGGGAGTGAGGAGATCGTGGTGTGTTTGGGTGCCGAGGGGAGTGAGGAGATCACAGTGTGTTTGGATGATGAGGGGAGTGAGGAGATCACAGTGTGTTTGGATGATGAGGAGAGTGAGGAGATCATGGTGTGTTTGGATGCTGAGGTCTGTGAGGAGGTCGCAGTGTGTTTGGATGATGAGGGGAGTGAGGAGATCGCGGTGTGTTTGGGTGCTGAGGGCTGTGAGGAGATTGCAGTGTGTTTGGATGATGAGGGGAGTGAGGAAATCGTGGTGTGTTTGGATGATGAGGGGAGTGAGGAGATCGCGGTGTGTTTGGATGATAAGGGGAGTGAGGAGATCACGGTGTGTTTGGGTGCTGAGGGCTGTGAGGAGATCACAGTGTGTTTGGATGATGAGGGGAGTGAGGAGATCACGGTGTGTTTAGATGATGAGGGGAGTGAGGAGATCACGGTGTGTTTGGATGATGAGGGGAGTGAGGAGATCACAGTGTGTTTGGATGATGAGGGCTGTGAGGAGATCGCAGTGTGTTTGGGTGCCAAGGGGAGTGAGGAGATCGTGGTGTGTTTGGATGCTGAGGGGAGTGAGGAGATCGCGGTGTGTTTGGTGCTGAGGGAGTGAGGAGATCGGGGGTGGGGGGAGGAGATGCGGTGTGTTTGGATGATGAGGGGAGTGAGGAGATCGCGGTGTGTTTGGATGCCGAGGGGAGTGAGGAGATCACGGTGTGTTTGGGTGCTGAGGGGAGTGAGGAGATCACAGTGTGTTTGGATGATGAGGGGAGTGAGGAGATCGCAGTGTGTTTGGATGCCGAGGGGAGTGAGGAGATCGCGGTGTGTTTGGATGATGAGGGGAGTGAGGAGATCCCAGTGTGTTTGGGTGCTGAGGGGAGTGAGGAGATCGCAGTGTGTTTGGATGCTGAGGGGAGTGAGGAGATCGCGGTGTGTTTGGATGCCGAGGGGAGTGAGGAGATCGCGGTGTGTTTGGATGATGAGGGGAGTGAGGAGATCGCAGTGTGTTTGGATGCCGAGGGGAGTGAGGAGATCGTGGTGTGTTTGGATGATGAGGGGAGTGAGGAGATCGCAGTGTGTTTGGATGCCGAGGGGAGTGAGGAGATCGCGGTGTGTTTGGATGCCAAGGGGAGTGAGGAGATCGCGGTGTGTTTGGATGCCGAGGGGAGTGAGGAGATCGCGGTGTGTTTGGGTGCTGAGGGGAGTGAGGAGATCGCCAGTCTGTTTGGGTGCTGAGGGGAGTGAGGAGATCGAGGTGTGTTTGGATGATGAGGGGAGTGAGGAGATCACGGTGTGTTTGGATGATGAGGGGAGTGAGGAGACGCGGTGTGTTTGGATGATGAGGGGAGTGAGGAGACGCGGTGTGTTTGGATGATGAGGGAGTGAGGAGACGCGGTGTGTTTGGATGATGAGGGGAGTGAGGAGACGCGGTGTGTTTGGATGATGAGGGGAGTGAGGAGACGCGGTATGTTTGGATGATGAGGGGAGTGAGGAGATCGCGGTGTGTTTGGGTGCTGAGGGGAGTGAGGAGATCGTGGTGTGTTTGGATGATGAGGGGAGTGAGGAGATTGCGGTGTGTTTGGATGATGAGGGGCGTGAGGAGATTGCGGTGTGTTTGGATGCTGAGGGCTGTGAGGAGATCGCCAGTCTGTTTGGGTGCTGAAGGGAGTGAGGAGATCGTGGTGTGTTTGGGTGCTGAGGGGAGTGAGGAGATCGCGGTGTGTTTGGATGCCGAGGGGAGTGAGGAGATCACAGTGTGTTTGGGTGCTGAGGTCGGTGACGAGATCTGAGATTGTGTCCTATGGCCAGCATCCCTGTGAGAGAGCAATGCTTGTCCAGGTCCTATCACCGTTGAGCAGAGAGAGTGCCCCACATTTCCCGTGTTTGGCTCCTGTGTGGGATGCTGGCTCTGGCAAGGGGTCTGGGCATGTCTTGTCTGAGTGTTTCTATTCCAGCCTTGTGGGAAGGCCAGGCATCATGGAGGGAAGGAGGACCGGAAGGGGTGAAAAGTCATCTCAGGAATTTGAGGAAAGAAAGCAGGAGGGGTTATTTTCAGTCTCCTCTTCAGTGGGAAACACAGTTTCATACACACAGAGTTTCTCTTAGGAGAATTTGAATAAATCTGACAAGATCTTGTGGTGAATTACTCTCTGAATTATTTCTAGAAAAGCAGACCAAAATGATTTACCAGGCGACGTCAGTGTCATTCTGAGGAAGGCCTATAGACACTTAAGTCGTTACAACCACCAGCGCTTTCCTTCCATCAGAGAAGAAAAGTAAGTGTTTGTCTTTTTGCAATATCACTTCTTCATAATCATTGTACAAAATTTAGCGGGCTCTGAAAAATGTGAAAAGGTATAAAACAAGCAACTAGAACCACCTTTGCAAAAGCCAGCCATCGTGGAGGTTTTAGTAAGTTCCTCTCCGGTCTTTTGTGGCCTGAGATTTGTACTGTTTTGCGAACACTTTCACACCCTACTTTTTAACATGAATTTAGTTTGTAGGCATATGGATGGTTTGGTCACCACGGCACCTCTCACTGTTCTGGTGGTTGCATGGCGTTTTGTGGGTGGGAGAACAGGTTTCTCTAGAGCCTTTTTCAGGCTGGTTTGTTTGGCTTCTGTGCTTTCTCGAATCCTCCAGGCACTGGAGAGTTTGGGATAAGTCCTGGGCTGGTATCCTGGAAGCAGGAAGCTGAGCCTGAGATTTTCGGAAGCACATGGAAAGCGCTGGCCGGTTTTGCCTTTGTGGGTGCGGGTGGGTCAGGGGGTTGGTCCCCTGCCCCCCGGAGCGACTTTGCACCTCGTTGATAGCCCTGTATGTTTTTAAGAGAATGGGAAACAAGTAAAGCTTATTGATACGGGAGCTGAAATTGTCTGTTCGGTTTTCTGGTGGCCACACGGGACACTAACAGAGCAGGTGTATTAGTTATCTGCAGCCGCATAACAAGTACCCACAAACTTAGCAGCTTGAAACAACACAGGTCCATGAACTCGCCATGCCTGCAGGACGGGAACCCGGGCACAGGTCCATGACCTCACCATGTCTGCAGAATGGGAATCCGGGCACAGGTCCATGACCTTACCATGTCTGCGGAACGGGAACCCAGGCACAGGTCCATGACCTCACCATGTCTGCAGAATGGGAATCCGGGCACAGGTCCATGACCTCGCTGTGCCTATGGGATGGGAACCCAGGTGCTGGTCCGTGACCTCACGTGTCTGAGGGACGGGAACCTGAGTGCAGGTCCATGACCTCACTGTGTCTGCGGGACAAGAACCGGGGCACAGATCCATGACCTTGCCGTGTCTGTGGGACAGGAACATAGGCACAGCAACAACCACAGCGTTGAGTGGTCTGGGGTCTCTTCTCAAGGCTGAACTGGGGAAGGGGCCCCCCAAGCTCACGGGGTGTTGGGAGGACTTGGTTCCTGTGGATCCAGGCTCGGTCCTGGTGGGACAGCTTGCTTTACCAGTGCCAGCGAGGGGTCCAGGCTCAGTCCTGGCGGGGCAGCTTGCTTTATCAGTGCCAGCGAGGGGCGCCAGACGCCAGCTCATTCGTGGTCTCATCAGGGAGGTGGCACCCGCCCAACATTGAGGTCTCCGCTGCTCAGCTGCAGGCTCCTCGAGGGAGGGGACCCCAGGACCACGGGGTGGCTGGAGGGGCCCCAGGACCGTGGGGTGGCTGGAGGGACACAGGGCCAGCCCGCTGGTGGGTCTGTTTTCGGGAGGAGTATGAGTGCATGTGTACGTGGGGACGTGTGTGGATACGTTGTTCCAGAAGGAGTTTACATCTTCCATCAGACCCTCCAAGTGGTGCTAACTGAAGTCCGGCCGAGCGTGGCCGTGGCCCTGGCCGAGCGTCCCCTTCTGTGGCCAGGCGCTCTGACGAGAGGTCTCAGGACCAGTGTAAATAGCCCTGTGCCGCGGTCTGTCCACAGGTGACATTGTCAGCCACTTTTACGGATTCTCTCTTCCTGCCCTGCCCAGCAGGCCTGTGTGCTGGAGCTCAGGTAGGACGGAGACGCCAGTGTTGCAATGCCAGGCCTGCCAGGATCTGAGAGGGCCCAACAGCAGAGCAGGGGGAGGAGGAGGTGGGCAGGGACGAGGGGCGGAGAAGCATCTGCACCCCACCCCAAAGCAGCCTCCTGCCCACAGCTACCCAGGGATGCAGGGAGGATGGTCACACCTCACTGAGGGCCGAGTTGGGTCACTGCCTGCGGCCGCCAATGTATTCCCGGGAAGACTGTGATCACTCCCCGGGAGACGGCAGGAGACGTGTAGACCTGCTCCCCGGGACATCTGGCAATGTCTGGAGACACTGTGGGCGGCTGCAGGGACACCAGTGGACGGGCTCCTCCTGGAAGAGAGGCATCCCGGAGGGAAACCCTGGCCTCATCTCCACCCCAGGAGCATGATCCCGATCCCTGCAGCTCAGCAGGAAGCTCTAGAGGGAGAGCTGAGGGCCCCTCTGTTCTTTCTTGAAGTTGTCGGGAGCACTGTGGGTCTTTACAGGTGGATACAAAGTTTAGCCTCAGCCTATGGATTTCTACGCAGACCCTGATTGGTGACTGCAGGTGCGGTTGGCGGTGCCCCTACGGGCTTGTCGCATGGTAGGAAGGCCCAGGCTCTGTGTAGGGAGGACGAAACCCCAGGATCTGTGTGCGGAGGAAGAAGGCTCAGGTTCTGTGTGGGGACTGTGGGGAAGGCCCAGGCTGTGTGTGGGGAGTGTGGGGAAGGCCCAGGCTGTGTGTGGGGAGTGTGGGGAAGGCCCAGGCTGTGTGTGGGGAGTGTGGGGAAGGCCCAGGCTGTGTGTGGGGAGGAGGAAGGCCCAGGCTGTGTGTGGGGAGGAGGAAGGCCCAGGCTCTGTGTGGGGAGGAGGAAGGCCCAGGCTGTGTGTGGGGAGTGTGGGGAAGGCCCAGGCTGTGTGTGGGGAGGAGGAAGGCCCAGGCTGTGTGTGGGGAGGAGGAAGGCCCAGGCTCTGTGTCGGGAGGAGGAAGGCCCAGGCTGTGTGTGGGGAGGAGGAAGGCCCAGGCTCTGTGTTGGGAGGAGGAAGGCCCAGGCTGTGTGTGGGGACTGTGGGGAAGGCCCAGGCTGTGTATGGGGAGGAGGAAGGCCCAGGCTCTGTGTGGGGAGGAGGAAGGCCCAGGCTCTGTGTGGGAGTGTGGGGAAGGCCCAGGCCCTGTACCGGGAGCAGAAAGGCCCAGGCTGTGTGTGGGGAGTGTGGAGAGGCCCAGGCTCTGTATGGAGAGGAGGGAGGCCCAGGCGCTGTGTCGGGAGTATGGGGAAGGCCCAGGCCCTGTGTTGGGAACAGAAAGGCCCAGGCTCTTTATGAGGACTGCAGGGAGGCCCAGGCTCTGTGTGAGGAATGTGGGAAAGGCCCAGGCTCTGTGTGGGGAATGTGGGGAGATTCAGGCTCTGTGTGGGGAGTGTGGGGAGATTCAGGCTCTGTGTGGGGAATGTGGGAAAGGCCCAGGTTCTGTGTGGGGAGGGGAAGGTTCAGGCTCTGTGTGGTGAGGAGCCTGAACTCTGGCCTCCCTGAGCTGCAGATGTGGGTCTGAGCTGCTGTGCAAGACCATGGCTTTGAGTGCGCATGTCATCCTCCCTGTGCTTCCCCTGGGTTCTGCACATGACCTGAAGGTCTGGAGAGTGAAGAGCAGGGCGTCCAGTAGGGACCTGGCCCTGGGCGGCCTCCACAACTGTGCTGGCCCCGGGACACTCCTGGGCTCTGATGCTGTAGCTTAAAGCCCTGCTGGGACCTCCCCGCAGGGCTTCTGTTCTACTATTTAATTTAACTTTATTTATTTCTTATCCTACCTTTCTTTCCTGCCTCTGCTTGAATGGGGAACCTGGATTCTCCCGTGCAGCCATATTTGCTGCCTCCCCATATTGAGCCGGTGCTGGCTGGTTTGTTTGTTTGCAGAATGCTTTTGCTTTTTGAACTGGCACGTTTTTCCTTGACCTTGAAATGCATGGAGATCTCCTCTGACTGCCTCTCAGACCTCAAGAAGATGGAAAGCAAAGTAAGTGGCTTTACGACACTGTTGCCTGGGGTTGGGAGGCTGCTCACCGTGCATTTGGACAAAAGGCAAAGAAGGGAAAAGCAGTTCACAAGGCCGTGGCCCCCAGGGCTTCGGTCGGTGGTTGGCACGTTGCCGTCTTTCCTACCTGTGTTTTGCACAACTGCGGTTAGATGGTGTTTGCAATTTTACACCTGCCCATTTCTCTTTACCTTTATTGTGGCCACGAGGCCACAGCACCACAGTTGTTTCTAGAGTCCACTTTACAGACGGTGTAAAATGTCATGATGCTAATGATCCGGAACATTCTCCAGCAGTCTCATTATTGGACGTGTAAGTCACACCGGCCATGCCTCATTACCCACAGTTCACTTTCTGCAGTTTGCTACCTGCAGGCACCTACAGTGTGAAAGTATTAAGGTTTTTTGAGGGAGAGGCCACAGCCACATCACTTTTATTACAGCATAGTGTTATGGTTGTATTTTATTATTAGTTATTGTTATAAATATCATACTGTGCCTAATTTAGAAATTAAAGTTTATCATAGGGATTTCTGTCTAGAAAAATCACAATGTACATCGGGTTTGGGACTGCTCCACGTTTCAGGCCTCCACTGGGTTGGGGGGTCTTGAAACATATCCTCTCAGAGAAGGGGGGGCTACTGTATCATTTTGTGCTAATTACATAAAGGGCTGCAGTGAACATTTTGTGCCTAAAACATTATGCTGCATTTAGGATTTTTCCCTAAGATGAGTGTATTTACATGAAATGACTAGGGAATGCTCACTTTTAATATTTAAGAATACACGTTAGAGAACCGCCCTCCAGAAAAAGCTTCACACAACCAAAGGTGTGTAAGACTGAAGACGTCAGGCTTGCTGATGCTTTCGGGAACTGCCACAGAGCAGGGACAATGGGATCAGTTTATCGGGTGGTTTTGAGCAAACTGTGTCGCTTTACACACGGAGAGTGAAGGGGGGACCCTCGGGCGCACAGCCGTGTGCTGGGGCTCCCCTCGTGGTGTCTTCCTTGAGCACCTGCGGTGTGCTTTGCCCCAGGTTACCCACGAGTAATCGTAAACCGAGCCGTCAGTGGTGCAGGAGACACGGCCGTGGCTCAGCACGGGGGGAGCCGGCCAGCCACACTGAGGGCTGTGCTGATCTGGAAATGGTTTCAGAACAGGAGATGCAGTTCACGTGGCCTTGAGAGACAGGCGGGAAGCGTGGTCAAGGCTGGAAACGGCAGCCCGTGCAGTACGGAGGATGAGGGCAGCGTGGGAGGCGCTCCTGTGTTTGATGCCCTTTACTGGCTTCTGTGAGCCCCATTTCCATCTTGTCGGTTTCAATGGCGCAGCGTCCCCAGTTCAGAATGACTGTGGAACGCCTGGGTCCGGCCCCACTTCCTCCTCCCCAGCAGCCCTTCCTTCAGCTCCCTGCGCCTCAGGGTTTGTCGCTGCAAAATGGCAGCAGTAACAGGACTCATCTCCGAGGGCTGCTGTAGAACTCAAAGCAACGTTTTGTGTATCCCAGGTTGAGGCTCCCGGGCAGGCCCCTGCTGCCGTGGGGTTGCCGTTAGGGAGGCTCCTGTAGCCCAACTCTGCCGCCACCGCCCGTGACCCCTGCAGAGCATGTCCCTCTGCCCTGGCTTGAAGACGCTCTCCCGGCCCTTTGCCCAGTTGGCCTCTGCCCATCCCTCAGGGCCCAGTCCTCCTGTTACCTCCTGTCTCACTGCTGGTCGAAAGCGACCTTCTCTAGGTGAACATTCTGCTGGGAGGCTCGTTATCCCTGCCAGCCTCCTAGTAGACATTCAGGATCTCATGAGCTTTATTTTGAATTAAAAGCTCGCTAATGTTAAGGATATGAATGGTTTTTAATTTTGAAGCCTTGGTGCATTTTTAAAGACTATCCACCGTCATACATTTCACGATTGCTTGATTTAACCAGGCAGACGCCCGGACCTGTGGGACCCCATAAAGAGTTTTAAGATCCATGACCATGTGGGAAGCATGGGGCTCTTTTTCTGACCCCTGTGAAGCCTGGCATAGCTTCCTCAGTGGCATGGAGGCTTGCGGCTGCTGGACAGGTGGGGGCACACAGCCTGGGGTGGCGGCCTCCTGCGCTCTCCATCCTGGCCGGTGCCAAGGCCCAGATGTGCAGGACTGCGGTGCAGCCATCCTGAGGTGCTGCAGGTACTTCCCATCCTCGCGGACATCTGCTGCCGAGGACCCGCTCCCCGGGGCGGAGGAGTCTGCTGCCGAGGACCCGCTCCCCGGGGCGGAGGAGTCTGCTGCCGAGGACCCGCTCCCCGGGGCGGAGGAGTCTGCTGCCGAGGACCCGCTCCCCGGGGCGGAGGAGTCTGCTGCCGAGGACCTGCTTCTTGGGACGTCTGTGTCTGTTGTTTGTGAAGATGCTACACCATCAGCACCTGCGCTCACAGACTAGGAGCTTGAGTCTCCTGTGTCCAGAAGACCTGCACCCCTCGTGCCAGGGCGGGTTTAGGGTTTAGGGGTGTCACCCCTCGTGCCAGGGGGGTTTAGGGTTTAGGGGGGGGGGGGGGGGGGGGGGGGGGGGGGGGGGGGGGGGGGGGGGGGGGGGGGGGGGGGGGGGGGGGGGTGTCACCCCTCGTGCCAGGGCGGGTTTAGGGTTTAGGAGTTTCACCCCTCGAGCGGGGCAGGTTTAGGGGTGTGGTCTTTGGATGACAGCGACATGTTGCTCCCAGCTTTTGTAAGGCCACCGAGGCCTGGGGACGTCTTCCCCGAGCTCAGCAAGCCCCGGAGAAAGGGGAGGTAGAGTGCCCTTCTTCCCGGCATGACGCACAACACATCGCTTCCCAGACTTCGGCGCAGCCCCGGGCCCCCAAGCCGCCTGGCTGAGGCCTGAGTACCAGGTGTTGGGGGCCGGGACAAGGCCCCTGAAAAGGGCAAAGTCAGGACCCTCCCCTGCCGCTCTCAGGTGGTAGGGCCTGCAGGCAGGCGAGGAGTTGGTGTAGCTGAAAACACGGCTTCCTCACTTAAACCTCTGCGTCGTAGGTGTCTGTGTGTCATCGTATGACTTGTATTTGTTAAACCTCTACCCAGTCATATTTTAAATGCCTCTGAAGTTCATGAATGTGCACAGCTGCTTCCCTTACAGATCTCCATCTTTTCAAAAACTGTGTATATCTGCAGGATCCTGGGAAGCTGATTGAAATAGAATGTCTGGAGTGTGAATCAGAAGCTTTAAGACTTGAAAATCAGATGAAAATGTACATCCGAGCGGCTGTTGAGGTCAGGAGTCGTACACCTGGCATTATTTTGCAGATTCCGGGAACTCGGTGCGAGTTGAGTGTGTCCCAGGCTTGAGGGTGCTGGGGACACGGCCTGGACCCCACTGCTGGACTCGCCCTGGCTCCCGTGACAGCGGGTGTGAGTCCAGCCTCCAGTGCCACACTTCCTCTCCCACGCAGAGGGGCCCACAGGCCTCCTTGGTGGGTTGGGGTCGTACAGGTGGGGGCTGGGATGTGACTCCCTCTGACCCTCCTCCTGCAGCCCCTGCAGAGCTGCCCCCTCCCCGCCATGTGGTGATGCCTGCCCGGGAGGACAGGGGGACGGCCATGCGTCTCCACGAGGGCTTTCTGCCAGCCTCACTTGAGTCCGGGAAGGCGTCCTAATGATGAGGGGCAGAAGCCACCGCTGGCCCTGGGGTCAGCTGCCAATTATAGGCACGTGAGCCTGACCCACCTCCGTCCTGCTGTCTGAGACGGCAGGCTCCGGAATAGCAGCCACTGCCACGAAAGGATTTAGAAATCATTTTAGACTCTTCCTCAGTAAGAATTTCCCGGTTAAAAGATGAACAAAAACCTGACAGAATGGAGGTATGCAGCCCTGACATGGTGCCACGGCAAGTGTGGCGGGTCGGCCCGGGAGCCCTCGAGTCCTGTCATCCAGGCAGTACAAGGCCCTGCTGGGCACAGAGGAGCCAGGGGCACGTGGGTCAGTGCCGGAGGTGCCGGGGTGGGGGATGAGCAGAGCAGCTGGGAGGCCTTCCCCGCCCCCACTCCTAAGGCACCCACCCTCAGCCCGCACCGCCTGGCGCATGTATCACGGCCCGGCAGGCGCCGACGCCTCTGTGGACTTGCTCCTGGGTCTGCCTCCGCGGGGCTGAGCATCTCGTGGGAGGTTTTTGACTCTTGCTGTGCACTGGTGCCAGGCATGTGGTAGGCGCTTAATGAGAGTTCGTTTAAGGAATGATTTCCAGACACTTTGGCTGCTGCACTTTGTCGTGAAAGTGAACAGAGGCTGCTTGTGGCTGTGGCACTGTGGGGTGTACGGCTGCTTCCCCCGCCTCACCTGCTGAGGATCTCGGTGGGGCCGGCACCGGCGTACGAGGCTTTCAGACCCAGCAGCCAAGGGGCAGGATGGGGTTGTGAGGTGCAGGCTCCACCCAGCCCAGGGGCAGCATGAGGGCGAGGCCCCTGTGGAAGCCACAGGCTGTGGGGACATGGCCAAGCGAGCCCAGGGCAGTGGGCGGCCCAGAAGGGCTTGTGGGAGGTGGGAGTGTGGGGAGACTGGCTCCACTGAAATCCTGGCCTAAGCCTTTGTCCTGGGAAGGGCCCGTGTAGCACAGACCGGAGGAGACATTCTGGGGGTGGGAAGCGTCGTGGGCACAGGCCCCTGGAAAGAGACGGGACCAGGAAGGGAGCAGCCGCCACTGAGTCCACACACGGGAGGCGGGCGCAGCCACGATATGTGCGTACTGCCAAGCCTCCTGCGTGTACTATCTTGTGAGACATCCACTTCCTCCTAGAGTCACTCTGGCCATTTTCACGGACAGATTTGAGCATGGCACCACGCAGGGTGATGAATTTAGGGCCTGAGTTCTCAGCGTGCCCTGCACATGTCCCGCCCCAGCCCTGCAGCTCAAGCCAGCAACCTCCATAGAATCGCCCACGTCTTCTCCGCAGGCCCAGCTGGATATCATACAGAGACTAGACGTCGCGCTGCAGCGAGCCGTCCGCCTGGGCGACCCCCGGGTCATCCACGTGGTGTGCACCACGCAGTGGAACACCTGCCTGCCCCTGCTGCAGCACAACCTGCGGCACCACCTGCGGAAGCCCCTGGCGGGCGTCGCGGACGTGCTGGAGAAGGTGGACAGGTGGGGCGTGCACCTGCGCCGTGTCCTCCACAGAGCGGGTGGTGCATGAGGAGACAGAGGAGGAGAAGGTGGCCCAAGCTCCCTTGCCATGCCAGTGCCACAAGCAGCAGACTCCCCGTACTCAGTAAGGGCCACCCTCTGCCTCAGCTCAGGGCCAGGCATGCCGGGTCCTCTGTGTGGAGCACTGGTGGGGCCAGAGGAAGAAGCAGGCTCAGCTGTGTCTCACGGGCATCTGTGCCCCTCAAGCCTCCATTGAAGGGGACTGTCATGGCCACAGAAGCTGAGAGTGGGGGGCTGGTTGTGGCCCCATGGGACTTGGGTCATCTTGGGTGAGACAGGAGTGCTCAGAGGGCCCAGCGTCCCGGAAGAGCACGGTGTGTCCTCAGGGG